GTGACAGGAGGGGGGCCTCGGGGGTGAGAAGCGGAGAATTAATGAGTTCTTTAAAAGCAATTCTTTGACTACCTTCGTAAACAAGGTGGGCGTTGCTGATGTTTTTTGTTTTTTTTAATTCAAGACGTTGCAGGAGCATCGGCATTTTGGACCCCAAAACTTTCAAAAGAGCCACAAAGCAGGCAAGTGCTTGAAGCGGGCGGGCGGGACTCCGACACTGGGGTCAGGGTGCACGCGTAGCCCCCGCCCCATCCCCGAGCTTTCAGGCTGAGCAGCTCCTGGGAACAGACGGTCTTCCCCTAGCGACGCATGCATAATCTCCCGCTTGGCATTCATTAGCGCACATGGGTCAAAACAGAAGATGGAAATGCGGTAAACACACACACACACACACACACAAAAGACATGGAAACATTCATCCACACAAACGCGGCTTTCATACTTTAAAAGTGTGCCCACACGCAATCGTCTTTGGTGGGGGGTTCCCCCCGCCCCCCATCCAAACAGTGCACGTTACCGCCTTATCTCAGTGATCTTAATCATCTATGAAGAGTATCTTGCAAATAGACTGAAATATTTTGGGGAATTTGCAGTATACATTTGAGATTGTCACTGCAAAATGTCCCCCAAATTATTGGTTGAAATAATCTCTTGTTTCATTTCAACTCCTCTCGAGTAAACCACCGCCTGTATACAACAAAGTGCTGTACGTGGAGCAAAAATAATTCATACCACAAACAATACGTTGATAAGAGAGACAGTCGAAAGCACATAAAAAGTCCACCTAAAAATGGAGTCTCATGCCGAGTCCAAAGCCAAAGAAGAAAAAGGAGTTTGAAGACGAGTTTGAAAGATGGGCGGCGAGGGGGCTTGACCAACGTTCATTCCAAAGAGAAGGAGCGCCAACGCAAAAGGCTCCATCCCCTCCGAGCCTGCGCTTAGCTCTAGGTAACTCTCATAGCACAAATTGGCCGGTCCACTTTGAAATCACTGTCCAGTTGAAGTTCGAGCACGACTCAAGTTTCATACGAACAACAGACTTTTTCGTTTTTCGTTGAACATCTTTACACTACCATGTAAAGATAATCGATTCCATACTGGACTTTGAAAACACACATTCCAGCAGCATGAAGTAAGCCAAGGGCTGTTTTCCTAACTGCACAACTCTTCCTCGTCACTCAAATGACCCCGAAAGTCTGACTCATGGTGATGTAAGAGCACAACACACACACACACACACACACACACACACACACCCTTAAAGACTGATTCCACATTAATGCAATCAAAGTATCCATGACATCATCTCCGGTCTGCGGCCGCATCGGCATTGCAAATGACAATTTGCTCCCTGAAGCGTCGCCAGTTGTTCCAGAGTGCAGTTGCTGGCCTCTTGACTGGTACTCGTAAAGAAGGAACACATCACTCCTACTCTGGCATCCCTCCACTCTTTCCTTGTATATTTGAAAGATTCCATGATTTGCCCATCTTTCAAACTCCTCTTCAAACTGCATTTTATTCTTTGGCTTTTCCACAGCACTTTGGATCCAGGGGCGTTTGTTTGAAAGTGCTCTAGAAATACGTCGAGTTAATGCCATGAGCGCTGGCAACAGCCACTAAGCGAGCTAATGGCCGATGGGCAACCCAGTCTATCCGAGATAAGTGATGCAAAATTGGCAAGCGTTTGCGCATCGGCCGGCTCACATCCATGTTCTCGATGCTCGGTGATTGCGGAACTGATTTCCGTTTGCTTGCAAGTGAATGATGGAAATGGCATCAGGCCTGTCGTTGCTGGGAAGTTTGAACAGGCCCCCTGAGAGAAGGCGGCGCGTCCGCATGGGACATTCCCGACTGTCTGAGCGAGGCAATCGAGTCAATAACGAGCAGAGTGGCCGACCTCTGCAAATCAGACCGCGCCATTGTTCTCTAAGACCCGCCTCCCCAGTCGTCTAGCTTAATCCGCGAGTTAGCGTGCCGCCGTCTCTCATATGGGACGCCATATGCATGGATGGACATTCGAAGCAGACGCGGTGGGGGCGACCGTCACGCGACTCCTGAGGTGTCCCTTCTGGGGTTTCTTAGCACTCGACGCAAATGACTTGCTGTGCGTTTTCGCCACTTCTTTCCAGTCTGTCTGCTTGACTTGCATCTCCCCTCTCTTTTTTGTCCTTTTCCTTCATCCCTCACGCTTGTCGTCAAGTGACTGAATGTTGGCAGGACTTGGACATGACATTTGTCACTTTTGATTGCAGAAAGGAATGTTGGCCTAATTTTGGATGTGAGAAATGAAATGAAATTGCAATCACATGTGACACCGTTTTGCTTGATGCACACTAAGTACGAACCGGCCAATATGTCCATGGTTTTTCTCAAGTTGAGCAGAAAATGTTGGTTTCAAGGAGCTGGAAAATGCCTTTTCAACCTGACTACTTTTCTTGGTTTTTCATGACCTTCCAAATCACGATCAGAAGGATGACTTTGTGGCCCGTCTTCGTATGAGCACTCAGTTTCTTGGAACGGGTGCATTCCCCTCACAGCACGCTGCTCCTTTCCTGTTCTATTCAATTTTCTACTCGTTGCACCCCTTCGTTAGAGATTACAGGCAAATTGGCCAAAACTTTGGGGGGGAAGCGTTTTTTTTTTTTTTCCCCTCCCCCAACCAACAACTTCTTAAAAACAAAGCAGCGTCCAAGGCCCAATTTCACGAAAGCCCTTTCGAGCGGAAGAAGGAAGTGTCCCCTGATGGTAAGCAACCAGTGGAATGGGACAACAATTGAGCGCAGAGGCACTCCAAAGACCTTTTCCCTTCCTCCTCTTTCTTGCACTCTCCAGCTCCCA